CTTCGTGGCCCATGCGCAGAAGTCGGTATTTTGTGGAAGAGCCACACTCAAGGGGCCAAAGAGCCGCATGTGGCTCGCGAGCCGCAGTTTGCCGACCACTGCCCTAGGTAACTTGGAATCGGCAGAAGAAAGAATATATTTTCAAGATGCCACTTCACAATCTTCAGGGTTATTGACAGCATACAAACCAGACTGCAGGTGACTTCGGAACTCCCCGTCACATCAACGTAAGTGCCAACTGACGTATATGTCTAACACGTCCGAGTACAAAAAGATTTTCGCCTTAATTGATGCTGCGAATAATGACTGGTTTTGTAATTCCCTTATGAGGAGAAAGGAACCAATGTAGAAATAAAGATAAAGACAAACGTGGAGCATCCACCTTAGTTAAATACTGACTGGAAAGTGGGCTAAGAGTGGGAGCCAATCAGATTGGAACAAATCTGCCAATTTGACTTCAATTCCAGTTAAAGTGGAGATGGGGCTGATTCTTCTCTCATCGCAAAATCTATTAAAAAATGTAACTTAAAAATGATCATTCCATGTCTCAGGATGAAAAGGGAATATGGAGTCAGGAATCCGGCATCAGCCTTTTACTCTGTTCCAGGAATTTAAAAGTCCCTGGAAGACAAATTAACTATTGAATATTACGGACTGATAAACCCAAAGGAATGGGGAGCCTTTACCAGCATTTAGTGTCTCTCAGTTTTAAACTGGACGTCAACTTCCACCAACATCATTTCCCCTGGAAATTCCACCGCGCTGCGCTGACGTGGGTGCCAGAGTTCTGTGTGTGCAAAAGACTGGTTTGGTTTAAGTGACAGTCATGCATGTAGCAGTCATGCATGTCCAAGAGTTTTAAATAAGCACTAATGGTCCGACCTCTCAGAATAAAGAATCCAGTTCTCTTCTTTTGTGTAGATCCAGAATCAGAAATTATTCTGGCTCAATGAGACTTTTATTACAAGACCCTCGGTCGTTCACTTCCCCACCTCTTGCTCATCCACTTGAACTGTTGATCGGCTTTCCGCTGAAGGGGCCAGGGTGGCTTTCCCGCTCTGCATGTCGTAAGTGAGAAGATCCAGGTCAGCTTTTCTGTGTGGAGAGAGGGCAGTTCAGAAAACAGGGACCTGGTGTGCACCTGGTGTCCTATGAAACCCATCTGGTGACTGACACTGAGAAACACAGAACCTCTGACCATCTACGTCACAGGCAGCAACACACAGAAAATAGTCTCCAGAGCATCGTGGGTGGTTCTGAACCTACAGCATCCGTCCACGGACTGCGGAAGGTGTCAGGGACTGGGCGGCACTAAGCCCTGTCAGTGGTTACATTACTTTGTTGAGTATCTAAATCTCTAGTACTAGTTACCGGACAATTTTGAACAAATGTTACAGTGTACATTTCCTTAAATTAATGTGCATCAATAGAAACATATTCCCCACTAGTATGAATATTCTACATTATAGTTTGGGGGACCTTTTTGTCCACAGAGCATTATTTGATCTCTTGGAACCCTACAGAACAAAGTATCATAATGATACAATGTTTTCCTACATTTCAGAGAATTGAAACCATTTATTTGTTCACATGTCCACTAAGTTTCATATCAGTAATATCCTACATAATAAAAGCCTAATATGCAAATCGAGCAAACGACAGAATCATCAGTGGAACGACCAATCGCTATGATGCACACTGACCACCAGGTGGCAGACGCTCAATGCAGGAGCTGCCCCCAGCCCGCAGACCCCAGGCCAGTCAAGGCAAGTCCAGTAAACTTATAAAGTTGCAAAGTAGTACAAAGTACAAAGTACAAAGCAGTGTACCACTGAACAACCACTCCTGGGGTTATTTTCAGTGTTTTAGAGTTCTCTACGGATGAATCACAGTAAATCACGGGGGAGTCTCTTCTCCCTCAGATGCTAACCCATAACACGTGGTGTTTACGTTAGAAAGACTGTCAAGATGTACAGTCACCTCGCACTCAGGGAAGAACTCCTACTTCCCGTCATAAACAAAACTGAAAGCACCAAGCTAACGAGCCCTCCCAGCGCGGGAGCTGGTCATTCTTTCCCGCGCACGTACCACCGCACCCAGTCTCCGCTGAGGATGGGGACTGCCGGTCCTGGCTCCGTCCATTGGAGGGAAGACAACCCCTCGGTGGTGGAACACAACATTGAGCTATTCTAAGTCACTTTGGGATAGAAATCTTCAGTTTTCCTCTCTCGACTGGAAACCAGAGCAGATGTTAGGTTGAGCCTGAAAACCATGTTAACAAGTAAATTATGAAAAGAGAATAAGATAGTAATAAAAAGCAAGCTGAGATTCTCTGCGTCCCTCTTCAAACGAAGCCGGACATACAGCCGGAGGCCAGAAGGAGGCACCTCTAGCTCTAGCTCGGTACTGACCAGGCCTTTGACTCTGGGCCCCCTCTGGGCTTCAGTTTCCCATATATAATAGGAGGGGATTGGACCACATAGTTTCTAAGAGCCCTTACCCTTAATCTAACACCCACTGGTTCTCTACCACCCTCCCCAACTCAGGAAATACGTCTTAAATGTGTCTCTCAATGACAACAAGGCATGTGGTGGACTCATAATGTATGATAATTGGACACATTAATCCATTTCGGGGACTTAGAACAAGTGGGTCTTTTTTCACAATTATTTCATAAACTATAACTTAAGAGCTCTTTCTCTTTCAGACCAGGAGGAGGGAATGCTACGTAAGAACAAACAGCTGAACAAAAGTATCTCTTGGACTTGCCTCCACCTTGTGGGTCAGGAATCAAATTCTCCCATAAACTTGAAGAATCCTTTTAGCCTGCCTGGGTCCAGAGTGGGAAATCTTGACCACCTATGGAATGCATTGTACAAGCAAAATTGAAGAAACACAATTCCTAAAGAGAAGTGCTTTGTGCCTTCTGAGCAAAGCAAGCAGCCAGCAGATGGATTAGTTTTACTTCAAATGTGAAATGAAATACTGGAAAACAAAATTATTTTAAAACAGCTAATGTTGAGCAGAAAATTAAAACAAACACACACACACACACACACACACACACACACACACACACACACACATAGAGAGGGCTATAAATTTTGTGAAAGACCTGAAAACCTTTTCCTCTATTACTTGGTTTTATTTCTTGGGTCAACTTTGACATTATTTAACCTTTAACCTGAGACTAATTACTTTTTGATTTCTGAAGTTCTCATCTAGAAAAAGTAAAGTTAAGGATAGGGAAAATTGGTCCAGATAAATTCTTGAAGCACTTCTAGTTCCTATGATTCTATAAAGCTTCTTTTCTGGTTATAGAGGTAATAGAGTTCATATAAAAAATTCATTTTAGCCTGGCCCGTGTGACGCAGTTGAGCATGGTGGACCCATGAACCAGGAGGTCACTGTTCGAGTCCCAGTCAGGGCACATGCTGGGGTTGCAGGCTCGATCCTCAGTAGGGGGCATGCAGGAGATAGCCGATCAATGTTTCCCTCTCATTGATGTTCTCTCTTCCTCTCCCTTCCTCTCTCTGAAATCAATTTTAAAAAATTCATTTTAACATAAACCTTGAGACATTATGCTTAGCAAAATAGGTCAGTCACAAAAGGATAAACACAGTATGATTCCTCTCATATGAAGTGTAGAAAGCAGTCAAAATCATAGAACAGGCAGCAGAAGGTGGGTACTGTCTAGTGGGAGAGAGGAGGAGGAATCAGCGCTTAGTGGGTATAGAGTTTCAGTATTACAAGGTGAGAGAGTTCAAGAGATCTGTTGCACAACAATGTGAACAGACTTAACACTACTGAACTGTACACTTAGAATTAAGTGGGCAAATTTAATAGTATGTGTGTGTGTGTGTTTTTACCACAATGAAAGTTTTGTTTTAGGATAAGAATAAAGAGGAAATTCAAAACCATCCAAAATTCAGTCACTTAGAGAAAAGGTCTATTAACCAATTGATGCTTATCTACCCAATATGTTGACTGTCTTTCAACAGTTAGTGGGTACCTACACTGTGGTACCCTCTGCTGGGAACAGAATAATGGGCATGGCAGACAGGGACCCAGCTTCCTAGGTAAGGAACTCAGCAGTGACAGTCAAGGGCAAGGAGTTCCACAATAGAGGGCATACAGAGAGGAGTGGAAGCACAGAGGGGCGGGGGAGGGGGGGGCAAACAGACCAGGGAGGGAATGAGGGAAGCTTTCCAGAGGAAACAGGGCTAACCCAAGATGTGAAGGATGGGAAGATATCAAGGCAAAAAGAAGGCAACAGCACCGCAGTCAGGAAGAACAGGCTAAAGTGGAGGCAATGCGAGCAGGGTGCTTAGATAGGGAAGCGGACCCCCTGAGATGAGGTGCAGGGTTTCAGAGGGCTCTGGGCCCCATGATGCTGAGCCCAAACATGTCCTGAAGGCAACAGAGAGACATCAGAGAGCGTTCAGTGTGGAATGGACAAGACTGGATTCTAATTTAGGAAGACCGCTCTGGCTGCAGTGTAGACTAGAGAACCGACTGGAGGGGTCCCGCCTGGCTAAGGGAGCACATGTAGGTGGCTGTTAGAGTGAGCCAGGTGAGATGAGCAAAGGCATAGTCAACTTCATGTGACATTTGTAGTTTGGGACTTAAGTTTCCTCATTTAACATTCCATAATTAGTATTACCCCATCTTATTTTAAAAATCACTTGTAATCAGTTTTTTAACATGGCTTCATGGCATTTCATTGGATGGCTATTTCATGATTTATTTAACTACTCTATATTTGAAGGTTGTTTCTGAGTTTTTGTTATTCTAAAAGAAGTGGGATAGCGATTTTGGTATAAGATCCTTACCCACATTTTAAAAATATTTTCATAAATGTTAAGATTATACTAATTTCTTACAACAGATGACAAAAGAGATGCCTCATAAAAGAAGTGATTACAATCCAAATGTGCAAGACAATGCTACCAAAGTGTGTGTGTGTGTGTGTGTGTGTGTGTGTGTGTGTGTGAGAGAGAGAGAGAGAGAGAAAGAGAGAGAGAGAGAGAGAATATAGTTTTATTTTGTCCTAAAAGACCATTCTGGATTGCAGACTTCTAAAGAAGACATAACCTAACACACATATCCCTTATGTTTCACGGAACAGGGAAGGCTGTGGGTTTGAGCTCCCCAGTACATTACTCTTATCCAGGCAAAAGGTCAAGTGCTGCAAAAGGCCAAAGCTAAAAATAAAGTGTGGCCCTGATAAAGTTAAGGAGTTGGCCAGGGGGGAGTGAGTCATACCAAATTAACACTTCTATATCCTTCCGTACACTGTGGTAACCTCCTCAACCAGGGAAGGCAGACCGGTTCTTGTATGAAAGTAACTTCAATAATGATACGAATAATTAGAGTAACAACACGGAGTAGTTTCATTCCTATAGCACTTTTGTTTCCCACCATCACATATGACTGGATTCTAATTTAGGAGGAACTCTTTGGCTTCAATAGAGAGAATGGATTGGAGACCAAAAGATGGTTCTCATAGACCATCTATGGACCTCTCTGCCTCTTGCCCATTAATGCAAGGTCTCCGGGAAGACACTACACCACACAGCGGAGGCATCCAAGCACTGAGCCTGCCTGAAGTTCATCCAGGGTCTGGTGGACGCAGTGGATGAGAAAAGGGCAATAACAACGAGGAGTGTCTGCAGCCTGTGCGTGCACTTGGAGCGGATTTTGTGCACCATCCCTCTTCCCTGTGATCCTGGCCGTTTCTCGGGAGATCCAAATGATCAATGCCAGTTGGACTGTTCATAAGGTGGCATTTCTTCAGGAAATCGTGCAAATTGTTCTTCAAATGCAAGTCAAATCTTTCCAGGACTGAAAAGAAACCTTCCTTCCCAACCTCCGAGAGACAGAGAGAGAGATCAGACTCTGCTACTCAGCCAAGTTTTCACGTACATCCTACATTCGAGTTTTTAACATGTTCCTTCTTGTTAAGAATCATGGGAAGGTGGTGGAGAACAAGTGGGTAATTTCTTCAGTCTTTTAAAGGGGTATCTACTACGGATGTATAAGACACAATAGGGCTATGACGTCCTAGAGACTGTCTTCTTGAAGCTCAGATTCTAATTGGAGAATTAGGGTAACAATTACACACAAAGTACACAGTCCAGAAGAGAGCACATTCCTGCTAGAATATCCAGGATGAGAAACGTAGCAGGGAAATGTTTTAATGGAAGGTTATTTCTTCTTCATTAGAACCCGCATGTTTAAGACAAACTTAATTTAAAATTGTATAAAACTGTGTCATTCCTAAAGTCAGAAAGATTATACCTCTGTTTCATGTGCTCATGACTGTAAACCTACTTTTGCCCACCCTGTATATTACACTACAGATATCTACATATAGACCCCTACTGACCAAATTCGAATTTTATTATTTGGGCTATCAGGGTGACCGCAGAGGGAAAATAACCAATAAAATCATGCAAGTCCAAGATCAGAGCCTCCTGGAAGACATTTAACCCCATACATTCCAATATGAGCTCTTAGACGTTCTGAGTCAGCTTGCGATACCTTTTTTAAAAATTTTTTAATTTTTAAAAAATACATTTTATTGATTTTTTTACAGAGAGGAAGGGAGAAGGACAGAGAGTTAGAAACATCGATCAGCTGCCTCCTGCACACCCCCTACTGGGGATGTGCCCGCAACCAAGGTACATGCCCTTGACCGGAATCGAACCTGAGACCCTTCGGTCTGCAGGCCGACGCTCTATCCACTGAGCCAAACCAGTGAGGGCAATACCTTTTTTTTAAAAAAAAGACATGCACTGGTTCATTCACTAGGTCAAAAGCAGAGAGAAGGTGACTGCCGTCTTGGGCTTTTCCTTTGAGCTGTAAGGACCTGCGAGGCGGTCCTCGGTGCCCCTGCTTTCTATTACAAAGGTCGAACCAGGTAGGAATTCTTGCAGGAACTGGTTCCTGAACGGCTACACCCAGCTCTCCAAAGTTTATCATGATTTTGTCTTAGAGTTTCAGCCTACAAACATTAAGAAGATGGAGACAGGAAAAAGGAGAGGTTGAGACATGGCTGCTATACAAACAGAAGAACACAGTTATATTCCAGCAAAGATAACAACCAGATCCCCTCCATCAACGTTCACTCTTTTTAGCTCAGACATTGTTCAGTTTTTTTTAAAAGGGACAGCTGTAATAGTTTCAACAATAATAAAGATAAATTAAAAAATAAATAAAATGCAGTTTGAGTTTTATAATTTTATTAAAGTGCACTTGGAAGAAAATTAGTATTTTAAATTAAAAAGTAAAAATGCC